CTCTTTTTTTGTTCACATGAAAGCATGAGTGAGACTTGTAGTTTGGGTGCTGGGGGAATGGGAGGGGTTGTAAATAAAAGAAGAAACTCCCTTACATAGTACTATGAAGAATTAGCTTCTTGCTTCTCATGTCTTAGGTGAGGTGACTACACATTCTATACTGAGACATCATCTGCTTTGATTTCCTGTTGTCCTCACAACTTCCACTGATACTTTTTGCCCCCTCATTTTCTGTTCTCCTTGGTCTCAAAAAGCAGAACTAGTAGCAATTGTTGGAAGTTGTCACATGAGGTCAGGTTGTGTGACTTGGAGTAATTTCATTGTAATGGAGAGGAAAGTGCTTTGTATTTGAAATAAGAGAAACTGGGTCCAAATCAGTTCTATTTCTTATTACTTGTGTGACTTGGGTCACTTATGCACTCTGGGTCTCACTTTCCTCTTCTGTAAAATGAGGGGTTAAGACTCGAATTCGGAGGTCCCTTCCAGCTCTTATCATCAATAAAACCAATCTTCTTTGTGTATCAGTTCTCTTATCTGGAGGGTTAGACTTTTTTTTTTATCTTTTTTATCTTTCTCCAGCTTGCTCCTCTATCCACTCTTCCTCTTTCTTGACCCTGATGTGATTCACTTTGTATAGTTTACATTTTGGTTTTAGGGAGGGCTGGATTTCCAAGTAAACTGAGTAGGTGGCTGCCTACATGATTTGAGTTCCCAGAATCACAGGATATGAGGCCATCTGGCTTGACCTGTACCTGACAAAGTGCTGTCTCTATTCAACATCGCTGACAAATGGTCTTCCAACTCCAAGGAAGACCCCATTGCTAGGGAAACCCACTACCTCCTGAGGCAGCCCATTGCACTTTGGGAGAGCTCTAATTAGGAAACTTTTCTTCACATTAAGCGTAACTCTTCTTCTCTGAAACTTTCACCCTTTGCTTATAGTTCTGTCTTCTCGGAACAAGAGGGGAAAGGGGAACAAGCATTTATTAATTGCCTACTATATGCCAGGTGCTGTGCTAAGTGCTTTATAAATATTATCTCATTTGATTCACATAGCAACCCTGTAAGATAGGCGTTATTATGGTCCCCATTTTATAGTTGAGGAAATTGAGGCAAGTAATGGTTAAGGGACTTGTCCAGGGTCACACTGTTTGAGGCTGGGTTTGAAATCAAGTCCTCCTAACTCCAGGCCACCTAGCTGCCTACTGACAGGTAGGTTATAAATCGAGTCCCTCTCCTACATGACAGCCTTTTAAATACTTGAAGATAGTTACCACATCTCTCCTGAGCCTTCTCTCTTTCAGTAGTCCCTGAGTAAGGGCCTTCCCAACCACTAAGCCAGAGCACCTGGAATTCCATCAGTAGAGATAGGTTTCTTTGCATTTGAAATACCTTTCTCTCTTCTGGAGTTCCCCACAATACTGCAACTAGGGGAAATATTTTAAACAGGTTATCACCTGGTGAGATGTTTTATCAGGTCTGACTGAATTAAAGATTGTACTACCTACCATGACCATCACCATATAATGTATCAACATTATATAATTTTGGCATTTACCTGGTCTTGTCATACACATGAATGAATATTCCAGGTGTTTACAGGAAGTATTGCCAATCAGACACACTGGAATGCCCTGGTCTCTGACTCAGGAAGGGCAGTGTTAGTGATCCCAGCCCCAGTATTTGCCTCTAAAGAGGAAGCTCTAATCTATTACCTATGACCTATGAGGATTTGCTGGCAGCCCTCATGGGATCCTTTGACCTCATTTGCTTTGTGTTCTGCCTCTTCCCAGCAGGTATGAATAAATGTGCTGTTCTTTGAAGGGCAAGATGCCTCTAACTTTGGGGTCTCTACCTGACAATCCACCCCAAGGCCTATGAGCCAGACTATAGATCAGAAATCATTAGATCATAGACCTAGAGGTGGAGTCCTCTAGTCCAGCCTCCTTGTTTTACAGATGGGGGAACTGAGGCTGAGGGATGTTAAGCAACTTACCCAAGGTCACACAAATAGTGCTGGCACTAGCATAGATTGGGGATTTTCTACTGCAGGATGACATGGGCATTGAGCAGACACCACTCTACAAGGATCCCTTAGAGATGATGATCTTGGACTGTCTATTCTGTAATATTTGGTGAGGTTGTATGGAGGAAAGGCAGTCAGATGTGGTATATTGGAGACAGAAAACTCAAGATAGAATCCTGATTCTGCCTCTTATTAGCTACGTGACCTGGGAAAAGTCACTTTAGCTTTCTGAGTTTCCATTCAGGGAAGTTATGAGAATGAAAAGGATTATTTAAGTAAAAGTTTGGCTAGGCTAATAGAAGGCATGATAATTTTTTAAATGTCTATTCTTTCTTACTTTTATATCATGTTTATTTATGAATATATTGTTGCCCCTTCTGTCCTGTCTAGCTATCCTTAAGGGATGATTCTTGCCCATAGAAAGAGCTTGTAGGAAGGAAATCCAGTAACATGTCATGTGGGGTCCCCTTTAGGTGTGTAACACCCAGTTCTGAAATCCTTTGCTCCTTTGATTCTAGTAATGTGATTAAAGAGGGTATCAAGCAGTGCCCCTGCCCTACACCAATGTAATAAGTTTAGAGCCGGTAGGAAACTTCACCTCCATTATTTTTACAGATAAGGAAACAGAGGCCTGGACAAGGTCCTCTTTTCCACAGTCTTACAGGTAGGAAGTGGCACTGCTGGGATTTAAAATCAGGTCCTTTGAATCCTTTTGTGCATGTGGACTAGAATAAAATTCTGTAATTCATTGATTTTCTGACTCCAAATCTAGCATTCTTTTCCTCTGCCTCCCCAATATCCCTACCTGGTATCCCAATATTTCTGGAAATGCAAGTAGGCCTGGGCAGTATTGAGCCTTATGGAGCAAGCCTTGCAAGAACAGGACTGGGGCTGGGTCCCTGGCATGCTGAGAGGGGAGGTGGTGGAAAAGAAACCAAAGAGTAACTTTACTTGCCCTGCACTTTGCCCAGGCCATACAGCTCGAGCCTGGTTGAGGCTCAAGCTGAGGGCCTCTGCAGTCACCCATTTCCAAGAATAGAATTCCAAAATACCTGAAGCTATAGAAACAGTTCACTCTATGCATGGAGACAGAATCAGACTAAAAAAATTTACAGTAAAAAAAAATGATGGAAATATGTTTATGTAATTAACCTTTCCCTGTTGGTTTTGTATGTCCATGTTTTCTCCACTATAAGAGTTACTTGTATGACGGATTCATTTTGAACTTTGTCCTAGTGATACTGTTTCTTTAACCCCTAAAAAAAGGCAAGAGTATCAGAACAAGGGGAAAAAAGTCAGGCACTGCCATTTACTAGCAAAATGACTCGAGGCAAGGTATTTTACTCCTTTGGGCCTCTATTTCCTCATTTGAAAAATGAGAGAGTTGGACAAGACATCCTCTAAGGTCCTTTCTAGTTCCAGATGTAATATTCTATGTACAGGATGGAGTAGGGCAGACATTTCGTGGAAAAAGATGTTGAGATGTAGGCAAAATTATAGCAGTAGATAGATAGCTATGTCCCTGTGGTGTGATGTCATAGGAAAAAAAAAGTACTGGATTTGGCCTCAGGACACCTGGTTTAACGCTCCAGTTGTGACACCTATTACCTTCCTGATCTTGAGCAAGTCACAACCATGGGCCTCAGTAGTTGGGCATAATGGATAGAATGCTGGACTGGGAGTCAGGTGTTCCTGGGTTCAAATAGTGCTTTAGACGCTTTACTCTATGGCTTTAGGTAAGTCACTACTTCTCAGGCTTGGTTTCCTCATCTGCAATGAAGGGGTTAGAATTGATGGCCTGTAAGGTTTTTCAGTTTGATACCTATGATCCCATGATCCTTCACTATGAAATGAAGTTAGATTGAATGATCTCAGAGACCCTTTCTAGCTTTAAATTTTATGCTTCTGAAATATTATATGGAGACTCCAAAGTTCTGAGAAGTTGTCTTTATCCCTCTGTTAGCATTGCTAACACTGACTTTTATTGTTGTTGTTCAGTTGTTTTCAGTCATATCTGACTCTTTGTGACCCCTTTTGGAGCTTTCTTGGCAAAGATATTGGAGTGGTTTGTCATTTCCTTCTCCAGCTCATTTTATAGATAAGGAAACTGAGGCAAACAGGGTTAAATGACTTTCCCAGGGTCACAAAGCTAATAAATGTCTGAGGGTAGATTGGAACTCAGGAAGATGAGTTTTCCTGACTCCAGACCCAGCACTCTATCCACTGCACCACCTAGTTGACTTTTCTAGGTAATTTAAATTCAACAAACATTTATGAAGTGTCCATTCTTAATCAACTAATCAATAAACATTTATTAAGGACCTACTATGTGCCCAGCACTGTGCTACGTGCTAGGGATACAAAAAGAGGCAAAAGACAGTCCTTGCCCTCAGGGAGCTTAAAATCTAATGGGGAAGACAATATGCAAACAAAAATAAAATAAAATTATATACACGTGTGTATGTATATATACATATACATGGTGTGTATACATATATACATATACATATACACATACATATTGAGCTATAGTCAGGATAAATAGGAAATAATTAACAGAGGAAAAGCAGTAGAATTGAAATGAGTTGGGGATAGCTTCCAGTAAAAGGTGGGATTGGAACTTAGAGGAAGTCACCCTGTGGAAAACACTAGAACATAATAAATGTTTTGCAATTGAACAGATACCAGACTGTTAACACATTTTCTAGTGAACTTCTTAATCTGATTGATGGAGGTAAGACATTAGAAGCTATCTGATTTGTAGGTGGTCCCTTTGGTTTATCTTAGAGGATACTCATGGGTCTCTTTTCCTTGTCCTGAAAGAGGGTTATACATGTGTTGACATGCTCTGGTGACAAATCAAAGGGTGATATGAAGAGTGAGTCACTCTAGGTCTGAGGTTAACAAAGCCAGTCCAAGTACTATATAAAGAGGGACCATTAGGGAACTGTGTATAGAACAGGAATAAAGTGAACTGGCTTCAGCTAAAAGGTAGAAGAGATTCTAAGAATGAAGAGCTTTTTGCTGATATTGGCTCTGCATGCTTCTATCTCCTATAATCTCCCAGTAAACCATGGCACAACTCTTGAAAAGAATCTCCTGGTTGCAGAGGTAAGTTTTCCCATTGCATTGAATCATTTTTTTTTTGTATCTAGTATTTTTTTATATTTAGTGCTCTGGTGGAAAATTGGTCAATGGCACAATTGTCCAATATAGGTGCTCAATAAATGCTCACTTATAGTTGATCCTCAATTAATGCTTATTTGTTGATTTGCTGACTTTATTTTGAAAAGCACTAATTAAAAAATGGCATGTTACAGCATTAGGTAATTTATTATATCCATTTGGAAAATTAGCAGTGACTACTTCAAGTCTTTTGGTATACATGATTTCCTTTGCCAAATAGGAATTTTTTAAACTAACAGAATTGGTTTTGAGGGAACATTTTGAGCAGAGGTAGAGAGGAAGTTATTTTCCTAGTTTGTATGCTTTTAAGAAAGGGGGGGAAATTGCAAATATGAATTGTAGGTATGATAATAATTAGAGATACATTTTCACCTTACAATCTTTATATTAATCTTCAGCATGTCAATTAATAAACTAAAACTTAGCAAGCTCTGAGTTAACCCCCTCAGTACTAGCAGCAATCTGGATAACCAAGGCCACCAACTATTTTCTCTATCAGTGTTTTTTAGATGGGATAACCTCAACTCTTCCCTCTATTTGTCTTATTGCAAGAGGAAATGGAGAGACGCCAAGCTCAATGGGAATTTTTTTTTTTTGTATTTAATAATATTTGTATATTCTTCTCTTCAAGTCACAGGCTGGGGAACATGTTTACATAACGTCTATCTTTTTTATGTGGATCTGAATTTCTTTGAAGTTCCAAATGAAAATTGGTCTAATAGGATGCATAAGCACCAAAGGAAGTATACCAGAATAAAAATGTAACTACCCAGATTGTAGGTGTGATAATTTTACAAGGGAACCACCACAGTCCAAGTGAGGTCACCACAGTCAGTACAAAGTTTCTAGCCATTTTAATAATGATGGAGAGACAGCATGACATAGAAGATTGGCCTTAGAGTCAGAAAGAGCTAGAGTCAGGTTCTTCTTTCTGACACATACAATCTATGGGACAGGGACAAGTCACTTAATCTCTCAGTGTCCCACACAAGTCTTAAAGATAACAAATTGTAGAGCTGAGGTTGAACATGCTTCTACACCTAGAGTTCTCCACAACAGTGAAATCACAGGCTGAGACATCTCATTCTACCCTGCCCCACCTCTGCCAAAAAAGAGAAACTGAGTACCAGTTTGTGTCTCAGAGTTCACCATTCTGTGATCTTCCTAAGACAGGTGGGATGGATCAATGGAATCACAGTCAACTTTTCTCAGTTGTATATCCATAGGTGAAAAGGGTTAAAAATTTATTAACAGTTTTCTTATTTTTACGTCACCTGCATCATCTTCATTTCCTGATACATCTCTCTCTTCTCATTACCAAGACAGTCATCCCTTGTAAGAAAGAATAAAAAAGAAAGAGAAAGGGGGAAAGCAAAACCGATTTAGCAAAACTAACCAACACATCAACCACATCTGAGAGCATATACAATGTTCTGCACCTATAGTCCTGACCTTTGGAAAGAAGGGAGGGAGGAAAGCACATTTTCTCATCTCTTCATCTGGACTAAACTTAGTTAATATAATTACACAAAGTTCAATTTTGTTGGCTTGTTGTTGTCTTTTCCATTTGCATTGATGTATTTGCATATATTATTTTCTTGGTGCTGTTTACTTCATTTGGAACAAGTTCTTATTCATCTTCCTATGCAGATTAAATGAGAGCTGAAAGAACCTTATTGGTGGGATAATTTCTTCTTATGTTTATTGCTTTACTTAGCCTTACCTGGAAAAATTTTATGGCCTTAAAATGAAAGAATTGCCTTTGAATAAAATAAAAGGCAATGACCCTGTAGTGGAGAAGATTGAGGAAATGCAGGAGTTCTTTGGGTTGGAGGTGACAGGCACACTGGATTCTGCAACTTTGGAGATGATGCAAAAACCCCGATGTGGAGTTCCTGATGTACATGATTTTAATGTATTTCCACGTCAACCAACATGGAAGAAATATGACCTTACCTACAGGTAACATTTTACTCAGTTATTTTTTATGCATAGTAATACTTGCCTTATCGGGAAACATTGAACTGTCAACAAGTTAGGGCACAGAGCTCCAAATGCTTAAAGCTTCAGATCTAGAGGTTGAAAACGTCCCTTGTTTGACCGAATTAATCTCATAAAGCCCAAATACTAAAGGTTGTGAGCAGTGTTCGTGATCCCTGTAGTGCAAGGTCTTGAGCCTTATTCAGAGCCTGTTGATTCTTGTTGTTGTTCAGTTATTTCAGCAGTGTCCATCTCTTCACAACTCCATTTGGGGTTTTCTTGGCAAAGATAGTGGAGTGGCTTGCCATTTCCTTCTCCAGCTCATTTTGCAGATGAGGAGACTGAGGCAAACAGGGTTAAGTGACGTGTCCAGGGTCACACAGCTAGCAAGTGTCTAAGGTCAGATTTGAACTCAGAAAGATGAGGCTTCCTGACTCCAGGCCCTGCACTCTATCTACTGCTCCACTTTACACTGTTCTAATCTTAAATAGTTTACTGCTATATAGTAGATTCTAAGTAATTGGCAGCAATTTCATTTCCTCACTAGCCATTTACTCTCCAACCCTGGGCAATCTGGTTTCTGTCTCTACTCTCTATTAATACTGTTCTCTGGAAGGTTGACAATATCTCTGAACCATCAGATCCAATGGATTTTTTTTCAGTCTTCATTTTCTTTCACCTCTCTGCAATATTTGACATTGTTGACAAGCCCCTCCTTCTAAAAATGCTATTTTTGTGATATTGATCCCCTTCTTTAGGTTGAGAACACTATACCCCCAAATTTTAGAAAAGCATTTGATAATGTCTCTCATATTATGCTTGTGGAAAAGATGAGAGACGTGGACTAGATGAGAGAATAATTGCCTGGATTCATGGTTGTGTCACTAGGTTCAAAGAGTAGTCATTAATGATTTTATGTTGACCTGGAAGGATGGCTCTAGTAGAGTGGTCCAGCAATCTGAGCTTAGCACTGTGTTATAGAATTTTTTTTTAAATAAATAGCTTGGATAAAGGAATAGACATCATGCTTATCAAATGTGCAGATGACACAAGGCTGAGAGAGATAGCTAGTAAGTAGCATGGATGTCAGAATAAGATTTCTGAAAGTTCTTGGCAGACTAAAATGTTGGGACAAATCTAGTAAGACGACCTTTATGAGGACACATATAAAGTCTTATAAAGAGTGACTTGACAGATAGAGGATGAGAGATTCATGGATAGACAGCACTTTGTCTGAAAAGATCTGGGGATTTTAGTGGAAAAGTGAACTACATATGAGTCAAATGTATGATGTGGATGCCAAGAAAGCTTATTCAATCTTAGACTGCATTAAGAGAATAAGAGCATCCAGGAAAAAGGGAGGGGTAGTTCCACTTGTATTTTACTTTGGTCAGACAATATTTGGTACATTATATTTAGTTCTTACTGCCACATTTTGAAAAGGATATCAATATTCAGTAGAAGGCAATTTGAATGGTGAAGGAACTCAACTTCACTCCCTATGAGGATGGATTGAAAGAACTTAGAGGGAGCATGATAGCTGTCATCAAGAATATGAAGGTCTAGCACATGAAAGAGAGATTAATCTAATTATATTTGACTCCATTGGGTAGAAGTTGCAAGAAATAAATTGAGGTTTGATGTAAGAGCACCTGTTCTAACAATTAGAACTCTTCAAAAGTGTATTGGGTTACTTGGATTTTCCTCTTACTGGAGGCCACCAAATGAAAGCTAAATACAACTTGTCAGGGTTACACAGCTAGTATGTGTCTAAGGCTAGATTTGAACTCAAATCTTCCTGGCTCCAGGCCTAGCACTCTATGGACCACCTGAATTTTCTCTCTCTTCATTACTGCATCCACTCCTTTTACTTCAAACTGCCTCTATTCTTATGGGTCCTCAATCAATATATCTATTTAAACTGAATTTATCATCTTTGTCTCTCCCTCTAACCTACTCTTCCAGACTTCTATATTTCTCAATTGTGCCACAATTTTCTCAATTGCTTAGGCTCAAAACTTAAGGTTCCACTGTTATTCTTCCTTTTCCTCTGATTTCCAATTAACACCAAATCTTATTGTTCTCTCTCCTAAAATCTCATATCTATCCCATTCCATTTATTCCAGTTGCCACCAACATAGTTCAGGCTAGGTTTTTATTGTTGCAATGATGAAAAGGGAAGGGGCCCCCAAACTCCATTTTGCACTACAAATTAAGTTGTAAATAATGACTGACTAATCCTTAGAGATAGCCCTTTATCAGTGTATTTTCCACGGGCCCCACCTGTTTTTAATTTTCCCCAGTTTAGGCCCTTATCTATTTTTTCCCTGGATTATTGAAATATCCTCTTAACTTGCCTCCTTTTCGCCTCTCTTTGCCACCTACAATCCTTTCTACACTGGACTGTCAAGTGAATCCTCCCAAAACAAATCTCCAATCCTGTCACCTTTTTGCTCAAATCAGTAGTGGCTTCCCATTGCCTCTTAAAACCCTAATCCTCAAGGTTCACCATCTGTATAATCTTGGGCAAATCATTGCATCTCTCTGGGCCACAGCTTTCTTATATATTAATGAGTGGTTGGATTAGGTAATTTTGCAGGTAATTTCCCTTCTTGCTCTAGTATGTGTTTGTTTGCTTTAAAATTATGCTTCAACTTTTCTTATTTATTTATTTTTGGGAGGCAATTGGGGTTGTGACATACCTAGGGTAACACAAGTAGCAAGTGTCTGAGGTTGAATTTGAAATCCAGTTCTCCTGACTTCAAGGCCAGTGCTCCATCCACTGTGCCACCTAACTGTCCCTTTTCTTTTTAATCATGTCATCCATTACCCCTACTTTATACATTCTACCCTGGAGCCAAACTGTATTGTTTACTGTTCTTGTTTTCACTTATACTTTTTCATATACTCTTCCCTATGCCTAATACTTCATTGACCCCATTTCTTCCTGACTTCTACACATCTTTCAAGGCCTTGCTTAACTAATCTTCTTTCTAGTTTTTCCTCATCCCCTAAAATAGGAATTATATACATACATATATATATATATATACATATATATATATATATATTTTTTTTTTTGCATCATGCTCCCCTTTGGCAGTCTAGTGAAACCTATGGAACCCTTTTCAGAATAATTTTTTAATTACATAAAATAAAATACATAAGATTTGAGAAAAATTATTATTAATAACCAGTTATGGGAGAGATCCAGGCTTTTTCCCTGTCCTATTTCTTTGTTCAAAGCCTAACCTTTGAAGGACAGTACTGACCTTAGTGAAAAATTTACCCGAACTAGACCATCTTAACTAAGGTGAATTTCTGCCCCTTGTGTTCTGCTCAAGCAAGTTTGAGTGGGAGTAGGTCCTTCCTCTAGATTGCCCAAGGCTGAAGGTGGTCTGGTATAGAGATAGCCTTTTTGTCCAAGAGTGACATGATATCACTCTCTCAGCCCTTCATTGGAGTGAGCCTACTTCTCACTGTAATATTCCTTCTCTTAACCAATCAGAATTGATTGCCACCCTCAGGAACACCCACTCTTCCAAGGGCATATAAACTGGGAGCCCAATCCCATGAGGGGTCTTTGGCATTCAAGAATGTCACTGACCCTTTTTATTAATTAATAAAATGATTAATTACCCAGAAATTATATCCCCCAAGCTTTTTAAACACAGATTACAAAGGAAACCAAATGCAACAGCTTTCAAAAAGTTCCCAGACCTGAGGATAAGAACACTTAGCCTAAAGTATGAGTAATCTCTAATTAGCATAGCTCTTTGTTGTGCAGTCTCTAGGTGTATATTGGGTATACACATATAAATGTTACATATATGTGTGTGTGTGTATGTGAGCGTGTGTGTATGTATGTTCCAGATGACCTCTGAGGTTCCTTCCATCTCTGGGTCTATGATCCCAAGACATCTCTTGGGATCTTTAGGACCTCAGAGGTCATTTGGTCAAACTCCCCCATTTTACAGATGAGAAGATTGAGGTCTAGAGAGGGAAAATTATTTGAACAGGCTCACATAGACAATAAATGGAAGAGTCATAGTTTGAATGCAGGTCCTCTGATTCCTGAGCCAGTTTAGATTGGAAGCTCCATGAGGACAGGGATTCGAAGTACAGTGCCTTGTACATAGTAGGTGCTCAATCAGCATTTGCTGAATGAAGGAAGGAACAATTGCCTGAAATCAGGGGGGTGAATTGTATAAAGAACTATTCAAGCAGAGCAGTCTGGACCATTGGTAACAAGACAATATTCCTACATACTCAATGGCCCAATACAAGGAGGCATCATGATTATAGTGCAATTTTATATTAAATATTTAGTGATTGGGCCAGGACAAGAAGTTGGGTTATGATACTCTGTTAAATTCAATTAAAGTCAACTAACATTTATTAAGTACCTACTAGCTGTGTGACCCTGGGAAAGTCACTTAACCCTGTTTGCCTTAGTTTCTTAACTATAAAATGAGCTAGAGCAGGAAATGGCAACCTACTCTGGTGTCTTTGACAAGAAAACACCAAATAGAGTCACAAAGAATTGGACACGACTAAAACAACTGAATGATGACAACATCATATTGCTTGCCTTTTCAGTGGCTGAGGGAGGGGCAGAAGGGAGTGAGAGAATTTGGAACTGAAAATAAAAAGAATAATAATTTTGAAAAATAATTTTAAAAATATTACATGCAATGTGCCAGGCATTGGGCTAGATGAGGGAAATATAAAGACAAATTATTCCCTTGCTTAAGAAGTTTACATTTTATTAGGGAGATCAGACACTTACACAAGTAAGTAACAATATAATATATACAAAGAAATGCAGATTAATTTCAAGAGGGACTAAGCGCTAATAATTGAGAATATGAGAAAAGTCCTTGTGCAGCATATTGCATTCAAAATAAAATTTCCTTTTAAAATAGCTAAAGGAAGGACAGCTTCAATTATCTGTAAAATTCATTACTATCAAATACCTTATCCCTCCCCCCTCCAATAATAGTAAAAGAATGAGATACTCTATTCCAATATCAACCAATAACTTCCATTGTTTTTCTTATTGTTTTTGATAAAGAATAATGAACTATACCCCTGACATGACCAGAGCTGATGTGGACTATGCTATTGAGAAAGCTTTTAAAGTATGGAGCAATGTAACCCCTCTAACGTTCAGAAGAATTTACATGGGAGAAGCGGATATAATGATATCTTTTGCATCTGGAGGTAAATAGCCCTTAAGATTTAACACTTAATTTACTCAGATTGTTCTCAGTATAGCTGATAATGGGAAGCAAGGAACTCAATTTTGCTTTTCTCTTCCAAGTTCATGGTGACTTTTATCCTTTTGATGGCCGCCATGGCACCTTGGCTCATGCCTATGCTCCTGGCCCTGGGATTGGAGGAGATGCTCATTTTGATGAGGATGAAGGCTGGACAGCAGACATAAGAGGTAGGGTAAAAAAAAAAGCTCATTTCTTGTTGTGTCTATCCTACAAATGATACCAGACTACTCAGATTCAACTTCCTTCCTCCCTTACTTCCTTCCTCCCTCCCTTCCTTCCTTCCTCCCTTCCTTCCTCCCTCCCTCCCTCTCTTCCTTCCTTCCTTCATTTCTCCCTTCGTCCCTCCCTCTCTCTCTTCCTTCCTTCCTTCATTCCTCCCTTCCTTCCTCCCTCCCTCCCTTCCTTCCTTTTTCTTCTTTCCTTCTTTCCTATTTCTTCTTTCCTTCTTTCCTATTTCCTCTTTCTCTTCCACAATCAATTATTGAGTGTTTACTATGGGCTAGACATTGTGCTAGACTTAGGAGAAAAAAACTAAAAATGAAATAGACTATGTCCTCACTGAGAGAGTGGAGAGAGACAAGGAGACCCAGGATAGAGCTTTGAGGCGCACCCACACATAGGAGTCAGGATTATATGGCTAGATGATGACCCAACCATTTGGGTTGAAGAATGGAAGAAAATCAGAAGAAAGTGGCATCACAAAAAAAAAAGAAGAAAGAATATCTAGGAGGAACGCTTGGTCAACACAGTTAAATGTCACAAAGGTTGAAAAAGAAAAGGACCAGAAAAGGCCATAGGATCTGTTAATTAAGATTATTCGTAACCTTAGAGAAAGCAGTTTCAAATGTGTGATGACATTGGATACCAAATTACAAGAGGTTGAGAAATGAATGAAAGGTAAAGAAGTAGAAGCAATGAGTATAGTCCTTTTAATTTTTTCCCCTTTGCAGTTTGGTTTTGATAGAATGATATGGGATGATAACTTGAGGGGATAGTAGAGTCAAATGAAAGGATTTTTCTTGTTTGTTTTTAGAATAGGGGAGAGTGTCTTCTAGGAATTTGAAGTAGCGAGTGCCTGGCATGAATCTTCTCATCTTTCAAGCATGATGAAATTTAGGCTGATTCAGACCTCCAACTACTTAGAGACTAGCATCCATTGTACAGAGCTTCTTTGGGATGATTCAAGGTCTATCATACTAGGGAGCTGTACATACTTCTATAAAGCCTGCTCTTTTATGTATTTTCACTAAGAAAGGACAAGCAAGCTGAGGGGAATGTGCCCAACCCAACCTGATTGAATTTGCTGAAATGAAATTCCTACCATTTCAGATCTTCCCAAGAATCTTTCTGGAGAATCCATTCAGCTTTTGCCCGAAGCTCATGAAATTCTTCTTAATGAGGAGATTTGTTCATTTTTAAAAAGGAAAAACAAAAACAGGCACTGATCCAGGATTAGGCCTTAGCTGTAATTAACCCAATGTGTTCAACCAGATTATGTGGAGTTTGTGATGTGTAAAATACAATGGGAGCCATGTGTTAGATTGCTTCATAGAATATTTTAGAACTGGAAGAGACTGTAGGATGATCTGCTCCATGACCCTCATTTTACAGATGAGAAAACTGATCACACAGATAGCAAGTGTCTTCATAGGGTCTACAACCCAGATCCCCTGATTCCTATTCCAATACACTTTCCTCTATACTCTGTTGTCTCCTTGCTTTAAGTAGGCTGAAGTAAAAAAGCAGGTATTCCTATATCTCATCAATGATAATCTTTAATGGAAAAAACATCATCCATTAAAAATAACAGGCTATAATATAATCTCATTTGTTTTATTTGATTGAGTAAAAGAAGACTTTTTTTTGGTATATTGATATCCAAATTTGGGATTTGGGATACTTAATGAACATAATTTTTTGACCTAAAGACTCGTAAATTTATTCAACGTGGAGATGATTGCTGTCTTGCCCTCCTGACCCAACATGAGCACAATGTTCATATCACTCCCATGTTTCATCCCTATGCTCCTTGGCTTCATTCAGGGTTCAGGGAATGTGGTGATGTCCCCCAGATCTGTTCTCCTAACACTTAAGAGTGTTTTCAAAGAAGCCAAAAAAGTGTCAGAGCTAGAGACTAGGCTGTTGGAAGTAGGAGAGGGTATTTGAGAAGCAATTATATGCTGTAAGTAACAGAGACTCCTTCTTCTCTCCTCCATACTCAGGGAATGCAAACTGTCTAGCAGGGAGAAAGAAGAAAACAGAAAGCAGATACTGTAATTTGGCAGTGCATTTATACTCAAATTTTGTGTCTACTTGAATTTGTTAAAATCACTGAAATTAGACTTGATATGAGGAACTGTAGAAGGAGTTGGAATCATTGGATCTGGAGAAGACGGGACTTAATAGCAATCTACAAAATACAAATGCAAGGGTTCTCAAATATGTGAAAGTAACCAAATATTCCCCATCTTCCATGAGCACTTAACAAGAGGAAAAAGGCTGAAGTTGAAGCAAGAGACATTTAAAGTTAGGAAGAATTTTGATTCAATTCAATTAAATAAACATTTATTACATGCCTACTTTGTCCAAGGTACTGAATTCAGTGCTGGGGATACAGACATCAATGAAACAGTTCCTGACCTCAAGGAGCTTATATTCTACTGAGAACATGAAATACTGTTATTCGTGGGTATGAGTTATCCAGGGAGCTTCCAAGGAAGCTCTTTCACTAGCTATCTTTACAAAGAAAACGTCCTTATCGTTCTGGCTTAAATATGATTCTGCTAGAGAGTGAAGGAATGGGCTAAATGAACCCAACCACTTGTTAGAATATTTTTATTGGCTAGAAAAAACACACAAATCTAAATAAAACATAAAAAACTTGGCTCCTCCTTCCTCTTACATCCAGTCCCTCTCCTCCCAGCTTCTTCCTTCTTGCTGCCTTCTGGTCCCTGAGCTACTGGAAATAGCTGGACAGAGCCTGGAGGGCAGAAAGGTTCAAAGGAGATAATTTAGCTAGGTCATTGGTCGTTTGCAGTAGGAATAGAAAACTTCCCAGAGTTGTGCTCGATGTGTAGGCCCATTTATTTGTGTAACTATATCCTTTATTTAATACTTGCCTATGAATATCACTGATTTTTACCTAGATTGTTTCCTTTTCAGGATACAACTTGTTCCTCGTTGCTGCTCATGAATTTGGCCATTCACTGGGTCTCGATCATTCTAGAGATCCACAAGCTTTAATGTATCCCAACTACAAGGCTGTTGACCCTAGCCGATTCCGCCTTTCTCAGGATGATGTCAAAGGCATTCAGACCCTCTATGGTAGGCACCAATAATTTATCTTTTAACATCATCTAATATCTCTTATGAACATGAGAAAATGACATCAAGATGTTGGAATTAAAAGACACCTTAGCAATCACCTAGTCTAGTCCTCTGATTTTATAGATGAATCTAACTAAGGCCTAGAGAGGTGAATTGACTTTATGAAGGTCATCCTATCAGCTAGTGGGATAGCCAGGCCTAAAACCCAGGGCTCCTGGCTCTGCGGCTGGTACGCTTCCTACTTCACCAAACTAATTCTCCATTTTGAAAAGAGTGTCAAACAGAAGAGTAACTCCATTGGAAAAGTTGTGAGAGAATCATGAAAGTAAAATACAGATAAAGTTGATGAAAGTAGGGCTTCCTTTTTCTTAGCCAGGAGAAACTATTACATAAAATCATGCTAAATAGTTTTTTTTTTTTAAATCACCAATCCATTAACTTTTTCAGAGACAGAATGAAGAATACTCAAGTTATTTCCATTCATTATTGTTCAAGAAAATATATCATGCCTTAAAAGAATTCCATAGATTCCATAGCATGATTTTCTCATATGATAGCATACAAAGTTTTTCAAATATTCTGGGACTTTTTTCAGGAGGTCCAGTGAATCGTCCTTCTAAGTCACCAGAATTGCCCTCCAAACCCACCACGAAGCCAAACGTCTGCAGTTCTTCCATGACATTTGATGCTATTACTACACTCCGCGGAGAAATAATTTTCTTTAAAGACAGGTAGGCAAACTTTTGAACTAAACTCGCAGAGTTGTAAAATTATAAAATTTGGATCTGGAAGGGACTTTAGAGGGAATTTGGAGGGAGACAGTATGGCATAATACTGGGCTTGGAGTCCTAGGTTCAAGCCTGCCTCAGACACCTAGTTGTGCTACCCTGGACAAGTCATTTAACCTCCCTCAAGCTCAGTTACCTCTTCTATAAAATCAGTACAATGATAGCACCTGCCTCATAGGGTTGTTGTAAGGATCAAATGATATAATGCCTGTAATTCCCTTTATAAACCTTCAAATGCTATAGAAATGTTTACTGTTATTATTTAGTCCAATCCTGTGCATAGCTTGTTCTTGTATATAGCTTGTTTGCACATATTTGTTAGTTCTTTGTATCCCCCATTAGATTGTAAGCTCCTTGAAGACAGGGACTATTTTTGGGTGTCCCCAGTGCTTAGTATAATACGTGGTACATAGTAAGTTCTTGATAAATTTTGTTGACTGACCCTTTCATTTTACAAATAAGAAAACTGAGGCTCAGAGTGATGAGTTGACTGCTACAAACTCACTGGTAGAAAGTGGTAAAGGCTAGATTTGAACCCAAGGCTTCTGACTCTGAATCAGCACTCTTTCCACCAAATCATATTCCTTTTCCAGGTTGTAACTCATGACCTAAAACTTCCATTTTACAGATAAGGAAACAGCTCCAGAAAGGTGGAGGAACTTTAAAAAGTTTAGATAGCCAGCTACTGGCAACTGTGTCAATGGGATACCAAGTTCTATCTATATGGTACCACATAAATCATTTGAAAAAAAGAAAATGTTAATTGGCTATTTCATTTAATGTAATCGGCTTAACTGACTTTTTTTAATTAAATGGACTAGAACTTTTAATATTTGATGACATGAGGTCTGTGTAACATAAAGAGAAAGCTTGCATGAAAGCATGAAAATCATACTAAAAGCTATTTTAAGATGGAAGTATAGGAGGGCGGGGGGGCAGTCTGTGGCTTGTGTCTCATAGGAACAAAAGCAGATTTATCTTTTAACAATGAAAGTATTGGAAACTAGGAAGAACTTCTATCATTGCACCCCAGAAACAATATCTTATATGATTCATTATTTCTGGAAACATCGCCATCATCCTCACCATCATTGTCCTCAAATATTTGTCTAGTACATTTCATTTTTTCACATCTATTATTCCATTTTATCCTTTCAACTCTATGAGTTAGGTGGGACAAGCATTATCATGCCCTTCTGACAGATGACGGAACTGAGGTCCACACTCGATTAACATTACATACACATCATACACTCTGTGACTGGGCCAATATTAGAACCTGAGTATCCTATCCTAGGCCTAGGCTCTGTCCATTATGCTATGCTTCCACTCATCATTATCGTTGCCATCAAGAATTAGCCTGATTTCATACTGTTGAAAGAGTTCAGGTGCTGCTGAAAGAATTGTACTAGACTGACCCTTATGGTCAAGAAGATCAGAATCCAAGACAAATGCTGCCATGAACACAGATGCATAGCATGTAAAGACAGCACAAAAGAAACTTTAACCAGCACATGCATGGAAGGAAAAAACATTTTTCAAGTACCTATAATGTGCTAAACACTTTGCAAATGTTATCCCATGTGATGCTCACATCAATCATGGAAAGTGGGTGCAATTATTATCTCCATTTTACAGTTGAGGAGACAGAGGCAGACCCAGGGTCACATAGTAAGTTTCTGAAGCCAGATTTGAACTTAGACCTTCTTGACACCAGAATTCAACCTCTTGAATATAGAATGAGGTAATTCTTCTTTCTATATATTGTCTTTCCTATCAGGTTCTTAATGCGGAAACAGCTCCAGAACCCCAAAGTGAGCGTTGATTTGCTTTCCTTATTCTGGCCATCTCTACCATCTGGCATTCAGGCTGCCTATGAAGTTGAATCTAAGGATCAAGTTTTTCTTTTTAAAGGTGACTACATGTATTGGTTTTCTTTTCTCTCAATTATTTTTGGTAGTGAATACACCTGAGGGAATTCAAAGTTAAGGGGCTATTAATTAATAGCTTTTATATGATATGGTATTCTTAATTCATATATCTTTGGTATATACCAAATTGCTTAAGACTCTGCAACTTCTCTGCTGTGAACTGGCACCCTGAATAGCCCCAATACCCATATCATGTTAACACAAAATCATAATCATAGAATTGGAAAGGACTTTAGCAACCATCTAGTCCAACTCATGTAACATACTCAGTAATCAGTCATCCTTTCTTTGCTTGAAGACCTTTAATGAAGGGGATCCTACTACCTAATACAAGGTTATTAAAACAAATACAAATGTAAGATATGAAAAAGTAAAATGGTCATATTAATGGAGGGACATATGGGGAGATAGGAAATAGTGTATTTTCAAGGACAGTTTTCTTTGATTAAGAACACTTTTCTGTCAATACAAACAGGTATCTGAATTTTCAATGCATTTATAGGTCTAAAATAAGTTTAAAGCATACATATTTCTACTTTCTAGTTTGCTCATTAAAAAGACAACTTCAGCTTTGTTTTTGTTATGATTTATGTATAATATTAATATAGTCCTGCAGATGAATGCAGCCTGTATATATGACTGAAAATATTGGGCAAGGCCTTAAAAAATGAGACTGTGTCAAATAGTGACTGAATTTCTTTTTAATTGCTTGTGTACCTTCCTCACTCTTAAATTTCTTCAAGCTACTCATTATCATGGAAAAGGTGAACAATGTTTGGGTGAATTTGTGGAATGGATTATGGGCTAAATGTTGCAGGGTTGTTACTTTTTAAAAAATTCATATGTTAGATTTTATTAATGCTTCCATTATAAACCCCATTTAGATCTTGGGCAAAGAGGAAAGCAACATTTTAAAATTTAAGTTATTTTTCTTCACAGACAGCAAGTACTGGGCAGTCAGTGGAACGAACCTTCTAACAGGATATCCCAAGAACATCCAATCTCTGGGCTTCCCAAGCTATGTGAAAAAAATGGATGCAGCTGTTCATAACCCCGTTACTGGAAAAACCTATTTCTTCGTAGGAAATAATTACTGGAGGTGAGGTTCATTGTTTAGTACCTTTCCCTTAAGAATAGAAAGGCAGAAGTGAGGTGGGAAGGGCATCCTATGGTTAGCCTCCCTTCCCTACTTTAGAGACAGAGCACATAGGTGGGGGTGGCCTTTTTATCCCTTTTGATGCTTAAGACCAGCATCAGATCTAATTATTTTTAAGGAAACACTAATCTAGATTGACTGATGGATTACTACACATTTTGGGGTTCTGATACACTTGAAATGTCATAGGAACATGAAAACAATGTTAGATCATTTAAGCAGCTGGCAAGGGAGGAAGGATCCTGTTGAGTGGGAATCCTGTATCTCCAGGGAGGCAGAGGACCAGAGCAGTTAAGAAGGCAGAAGGGGCCCATCATTCTGCAATGCAGTGTTTAAGTATAAATGTTTCTTGACTGAGCACAAATCTGCATGACAAGACAGAAGATTTGCCTAGTTTGATCTCTTCTGAGTTTTAATTAATGTTCTAATCTCAAAGGAAGGACATTGGATGTGGTAGGTAAAATTTGTAGGGGGGTTGGGGGCTTTTTATTCAATCTCTTGCCCCTATCAAGAGGAGATGTCAGCAGCTAACACTAGGCTTAGCAGGTAACAATCTGAATTTGGCCGGAGAGGCCCAGCTATGGAGCACATATTGATATTAACTGGAGATTCTTGCAGAGTGAGAAGTCATTTAATGCCCATTCTGGCATAGCCCTTAGTAGGCTTGGGATCTTCTGAATTGGTATGGGGAGAGAGGAGGGAGGCAAGGTTCAATGGTAGCTGGAAAAAGCAGGATCCATATTGCTGCTTCCATTCCCACTTATTTTCGAGGAAACATACCCAAGGTTGCCTTGAGGGAATAGTGTTCCAATGATAGATGATATAGGAGAAAATTCCCTTCCCTAGTTCAGTAAAATGATTAGATAATTATTAATCACATAAATACAATAGGACAGCCACAACAGACAAAAGAAAAGGGCAGGATCATGCACATTTGAACCATATCTCTGAAAATGTAACATAGGAGCTCATGTTTATACGGTGAATTCTCATTCACAAATACTTTCCTTGCCACAACCGTATAAAAACATAGTGCATACATATTATCCCTAGTTTATAGATGAAGAAACTAAGGATCAGAGAAGTGACATGACTAGTCTGTAGTCACATAACTAGTAAATATCTGTCAGTGTCAGGATTCAAACCCAGGTCTCTTGATCTTAAAAAATTCTTTTCTCTATGTTACATTGCTCTTTTTGGAGAGTACTGACTGTCAAGGTCATGGGACTATAGATTTAGAACTGAAAGGGACCTCAGAAATCACTGAGTCCTATCATCTCATTTTTACTACAGTAGAAACTGAGGCCCAGGGAGTTTAAGTGACTTTTCCCATATCACACAGCTAGTAGAGCAGGGAGCTGGGATTCAGTCCTGGATCTCTCACTAAGTGGCTGTGTAACCTCTGCCTTCCAACTAATTTTCTTCATTTGTGGAATGAGTGAATTGGACAAAATTATCTCTAAAGTTTCCTTGCGACCTTCCATATCTGCAACATCCATGTAATGAGGGAATTGCTAACTTAAAAAGTTCATAGGTGAGAGCTCTTAAAAAAGAAGAGAGTTACTGGCTGTGACAACACTCATCTGTAATCCCTGCTGGGGGTGCAGGCTTAAGTTAATTGGGTATCCACATTAAGTAAGTTCCCCTGAGTTCCTCAGAGGTGGGAGGAGGGGATAGCAACAGCTGCCTAAAGAGGGCTGAATTGACCAAGGTTAGAAACAAAGCAGGAAAAAAAACCAAAGAAACAAAACAGGTCAAAGTTTCTGTGGCAATCAATGAAGGGTTATACCCATGAATGCTGCTACATTTCTAGCCTGGCTAAGATAGGGAGACCCTATCTCCTCTATCCTTATCCCCCTCCCAAAACAAGAAAAAGGAAGGAAGGAAAGGAGGGAGGAAGGAAAGAAGGAAGGAATGAGAGAATGGCCCCAAGTACCAGAGAGTCTTTGGGGGATGTGGGGATAGATAGAAGATTGACTACTGTCCAATTTTCTGATAGAGCATTTCTTAATGATTTCTTTGCTCAGATATGACGAGAGGAGTCAATCAATGGACAAGAATTATCCTAGACAGATTGCTAAAGCATTTCTAGGAGTTGGACCTAAAGTGGAAGCTGCCTTTTACTACAACAGTAAGTATTTTGAAGCTTTTTTTTAAGAAACAAGAAACCTCTTTGAGATTGTCCAGCTGAAGGGCTTTCTCTATATTGTTAAGGGATAAACATGGGAATAAACTGGCAAAGACAACACAAGCCTCCAATCCTCTCCAGGGTTCCCATAGCCAGACTTTGGTAGGGAGAGGAGATCAGGATGAGCTATGGATCTACTGTAGCATTCTCTGGGGCACACTGATAGTGTCTCTCAAATTCCTAATGAGCTTTCAGTGAGACTATGCCCTCAGTTCCCTGACATCTGGTCTCAGCTAAATTCCTGTCTGCACAGTGGTCAAGAGGGTATCTAATTATGTGGGACATTAGTGGGTATGCTTCCACTAGGGGAACAAGGGAGCATGTCCTGGACAATCCCTAAAGGCCTTTCCATTTCCCTCAAAAGTGCTGGCATTGCCTCAAGGATCTGCAAAGCTAGCACTGTTCCTTGGGGCCTGTGAGTTGATTTAAGATAGGCCAGCCCTAGATAAGATGCAGAAGAGCCAGGGTTGGTTTTGGTGTATGTGGTACATAGGAAGGATGTTGTAATAGTAACATAAGAGGTTCCACTGATATTTGGCAGCAAGGGTCCAGATAAAAGTAGAATAACCTTAGATCAAAACACACCATTGTCCAGGGACCTAAAGCTCCATTTTCCATCGCAAATTGCATTGTAAATAATGACTACTCATGGGGTAGAGCTCCCTAGTTCACTTACCAAGTAAAGGAACTCTTCCAGCAAAGTCTCCTCCTAATTAGCCACTCACCTGACCATTATGACTGGGTAACTTTACCTCAGGGCTCTACTGGTTCTTTTTTGGTTGTTGTTTCCAAACATATTTCCAAACATATACATCAACAAGTCTGACAAGTTTCATACCCATAATTTCCCATCTCTGTAAGGAGGGAGGATCCTTTTCTCCTTCCTTCTCTTCTTCCAAATCCAAGTTTGATCATTATAATTTCTGTCCTGCCTGTTTATAATTATTCTATCCCACCAATGTGGGACATACCCAATCTCCCTTCCCACGATAACTGCTTACGGAATTAGATCTACCTATGAATATTTTCATTCTGTAGCTCCCCCACCTCTAACCCAGCAAGAGAAAAATCCCAGATATTCTCATTAAATGGCCCCAGGATACTAAATGGTCTCCAGAACTCTCAAAAAATAGATGAGTCCTATCCTCTTTAAGATCTAAGAGAACAGAAAGACACGTTCACTGGATTTATGGATGACACAAAAGCACCACTCAAAGAAAAAGTCAAGGTACAAAACGACCTGAATAGGATAGAACAATGGTCTGAATATAATAAGATAACATTTAATAAGGATAAAAATGGAATTGTCTTTTCTTTGCATTTTAAAATCTATGTCAAAGGTACAACTCGGCACAGGAAGGAAGACAACATTGGAAAAGAGTTATGGGTTTTTGTGGATGGCAAGCTTAATATGAGTCAACAGAGAGGCCAAGAAAGTGAATGTAATCTTACAGTGCATTAATAAGTACATGGAGTTTAACACAAAGACATTGATAATCTCAATTGTGATCTGCTCTGGCTCTGCCCTGCCCTATATTTGTAACGTTGTATTCAGGTCTGGGCATCACATTTTAGGAAGGTCATTGATAAGTTAAAAATTTCCCAGAGGAGGTTAAGCAGGAAGGTGAAGAAGTATAATGCCTTCCTGATTTCTAACTATAACCTTACCCACTCCTCCCCGCTACTCTCTCATCAAAATAGGGAAGGATTTGAGTCATCAGCTCTGTGAATCAGTTTGCAGGAACTAAAGAAATTTAACCTAGAAGAGAAAAGATCTTAGCGGGGGGGAAAGTGAACTGTCTTTAAGTACTTTAAGACTGTCCCATGAATGGTTGAATGAATGAAGCTTATTATGAGCCAGGCACTGTGCTAAGCTGGGGATGACAAAAAATTATAAGCAAGGCCATCTTTGTCCTCAAGGAACTCATATTCTAATAAGGGAAGAGAGCCTGTGAAGGGAAGTTAGAGCGAGAAAAAGTAGGAAGAGGGAAGGGTATTCATTCTGTGACATGATTTGGAAATGGCTAAGGAATGGGGTGGCCTGGTTCAGGGCAAGATAAAGTGACTCCTCACCTTTAAGAACCCAGGATCTCAGGGGTCAGAGTCCAAGTTCCTGTGGTGGGAGGAGGCAGAGTGTAGAAATGGTTTAGAAATTGGAGAAAAATTTTGTTTGATATATATAAAACTTATTAATAATTAATTAATACCTAGAATAAAATGGGTTGGGGGGAGGGGACTACTGAGTTCCCTTATACTTGCTAAGGTTGGGTGATCACTAGCTAAAGATGTAATAAATGCACTTCCTGTTAAGCTCCAGGCTGGGCTTCTGTCATACATGTTGTTCCTTTCAACTCTAAGAGTCTATGATTCTAAAAATGTAACCATTTAAATTTGTTTTTCATTTGTAGGACATTACTACTTTTTCCAAGGAGCCAAGCAACTTGAATATGACACCTTTTCGAACCGTGTTACCCAAGTTCTGAATAGCAACAGCTGGTTTGGTTGTTAGAAACAGAGCCCATGGGCTGATGGCCTGATCCAATTAATTTATTTCATTAATTTATTGAACAAAAAATCTTTGCCCAAAATCGTGCTATTTTGATAGACCCATGATTTATTTCATCTATATATGGGATGACAGGAACAGTGCTACATCTACCAATACATCTGATAAGATTCTTGTCCTTTTCATGATGTAAAATGTAGTCTACATTCAAAACATAGACATATTTATATATTATTAGCTAATATCCAACCAACCTGATGAATAAAAAACGGAGATCTTTTTAAAAAAGTTGACTTAGAAAATAACAAATGGAAGCCTATTTTTTTTGGTACTTTGCACTTTCAATAAGCCTCTATAACATAATAGAATAGAATTTTCTTGGGTTCCATGTTTTTACCCTTTTGTATTTGTCACTTAACCATTTTGAGAGGAGAAACCCCTGCAGGCCAGGAGAAACTCCAACCTGCCACTATAGGCTATTTTCTGGAACTGTGATTTTTTTTTTTTAGTGTAGAGAGTTCCCAGTATGGAAATTCCCTCCCCTAATACAGACCCCCTTTCTTATAATTTATATTCATAGAAAGTTGTATGGAGGCACTGAGAGGTTAAGTAATTTGTCCAAGGTCACAGAGTCAGTAAGTGTCGTAGATAGACCTTGAACTTGGGTCTTCTTAATTCCAAGGCAAGCCTTTTCCCCTTAAATACAACCATTCTACCTTTAACCTCAGACATGAATTATTTATATGAAAATTCAAACTTATTTATAGTTGAATCAAGTGCATACTTTGAAAGTAAGGACAAAAGAAATCCAGACTTTCTCTTCAAGGTCAAAATGTCACCTTGAATGTGTAATTAAAGTGAAAAAAAATCTAAGAGTGTAATTTAACTATGTAACTTATTGCTCATTATAACATCTACAATACTTCCTTAATTATCTTTATTGTGAAATACCTATAATCCTTTCTTAATTATTTTTGTCTTTTAGCTATATTTGCAAAGTGTTATTGTTATTATATGTTTTGCTCAGAAATAAATTTTTTTTAAAGTCATACTTTGTTGGAATGATGTTTGATCTGCTTACCACATCAGATTGCATTTTTAAAATTCCTATTTTGATCTCTGACTTGTCTAAATAAAATAAGCATCTTTGTTTTTAAACTCAATTGCCTGAGGGTGAATCTATGTGGGACAACCCTTGTAAGGTGGGAGGCTGGGAAAGTTCAGGTCTAATTTGGCCCCCTGCCTTGAGTTGCCAGCTCCCTTGGCGTGCATCAGAACTTCCCCAAGGCTATTAGAATCCACCAGCCCTTCCAACTCTCATTCACACTCCCAGGCAGCAAATTGGAGTGAGATGAAACTGTTGCTTCTAACTTGGCTTGTTCTTAAAGCTAAGGTCATAATAATAACAATGACACCTCACTTATTTATAGGATGGGAAGTTTTCCAATTGTTTTCCTCAGATAAGTACTGCAAGGTAGCTACTGCAAATGTAATTATATTATTCATTTTATCTGAGAAGAAATTTAGGCTCTCAGAAATTGTGACTTTCTCATTGTCACACAAAGAACATGTCTCTGAGACATGTTTTGAACCCAGCTGGGTCTCCTGCTGGCAAATCTAGGTTACATCTCTGTAACTACTATAATGTTGCAACTAATTAAGGGGTTTAACAAGAAAACTGACTTTTTGGTTCCCAAGGGAACATTGATTTCATCTACAGGAAATCCTCTTGTTTAACATCACTTCACTAAAAAAAAAACCAAAAAAACTTATTAAACTCTACAATGTAAAAGGCACAAAGATAATGGATGGCAGCATCCCTGACTTGTAGATGCTTACATTCTAGTGGGTGTGGTGTTGGAAGGGGGGAGGGAGTAAGGGTAACACATGTACACAGATACGTAAAATGCCAAGCAGAGTATGATGAAAGCAAAGGAGAGATGGACTTTTAATATTAATGTGACCTTTGAGGTCTAAGTCATGATATTCCCCAATAGTGAGATGGGATTCTAACATGATTCTTTGGAGAGCTCACATACATACAAATAAATATAGTAACCTTGTATTTGACAAGTGTGAAGACTTAAGATTTTGGGGTAAGAATTCATTATTTGGTAAAAATTGTTGGGAAAACTGGAAAGCAGCGTGACAGAAACTGGGCATAGACCAATATCTTAAACCATTTACCAAGATAAGATCAAAATGGATACATGACCTATATAAAGAGATATTAAGAGAAGATTTGAAGAACATGGAAAATATTACTTGTCAGACCTACGGATAGACAATTTGTGAATAAACAAGAGAGTAAAGTGAGGTATAAAATAGATACTTTTGATTACATCTAATTAAAAAGTTGTACAAATAAAACAAATCCAACCAAGATCAGAAAGAAAGCAGAAAATTGGGGGGAAATTTTATAGACAGTTTCTCATATAAAAGTCTCACATCTCAATATATAAAATTTTTTGTCAAATCTATAAGAATATGAATCATTCCTCAATTGACAAATAGTCAAAGAATATGAACAGGCAGTTTTTAGATAAAGAAATCAAAATAATTTATAGTCATATAAAAATGGTCTAAATCATTATTGGTTAAAGAAATACAAATTAAAACAACTTTGAGAGATCATTTTACACCTATCAGATTGGCTAAAATAATTGAAGGGGGAAGTAGCAAATGTTGGAGGGGATATGGAAAAATTGGAACACGAATTTGTTGTTGGTGGAATTATGAACTGATCCAATTATTTTGGAGAGTAATATGGAATCATGTCCAATGAGGTTATTAAACTGCCTGTACCTTTGACCCAGAAATGCCACTACTAAATCTATTTCTGAAGATGATTAGGGAAAAAGAAAAAAAAATGTTCTAAAGAATTTAAAGCAGCTCTCTTTGTGGTGGCAAAGAACTAGAAAATTGCAGGGCTGCCCACCAATTGGAAATGGTTGAAAAAGTTGTGGTATATGATTGTGATGGAATACTACTGTACTATAGGAAATGATGAGCTTGATGATCTTAGAAAAACACAGATAGACTTGCATGAAATAATGAAGAGTGAAAGGAGCAGAACCAAGAGAACATTGGACACAGTAACAGCAACATTGTTCTAAAAACAACTTTGGACAACTAAGTCGTTATAAATACCCAAATTAAGTACAAAGGACATATGAAGGAAGACACTATTTCCATCCAGAGAAAGAACTGATAAATGGAAGTATGCATAGGATGATTTTACACATATATAAGTACATTTATGTATGCATATATATATACATACATAATTGTGTCTAATGGTACTCATCTCTAGGACAGAAGAGGAAAGAAGAAAGGGAAAAAATAGAAATTTACATAATAACTTTATTATATATTTAAAAGGAATGGCAAGTTGTGCATAATAGATTTGCAGTTTCATGTGCAATCATCTTTTTTATTGTACTATGTTACAGAATTGTCTTGTTCTATTCAATAAATTAAAAATAAATATTTTTTAAATGCCACTATTGGAGACTGAAGAAAAAGGAAAAGGAACTATATGTACAAAAATATTTGTAGTAGCTTTTTTGGGGGGGGGTGCAAAGAATTGAAAATTGAAAGGATGCCCATCAATTAAGGAATGATTGAATAAGTTGTGGTATGTGATTGTGATGGAATACTATTATGCTATAAAAAATGATGAGGGAGTGGATGCAGAAAAACCTGGGAAGACTTATTTGAAACAATGAAAAGTGAAGTGAGCAGATGCAGAAGAACATTGTACACAGTACTAGTAATGTTGTAATGATGATCAACTGTGAAAGACTTATCTGCTCTGATCAGTACAATGATTCAAGATAATTCTCAAGGACTCATGGTGAAAAATGCTATCCACCTCCAGAGAGAGAGCTAAGTGCAAATTAAAGTATACATTTTAACTTTATTTTTCTTGCTTTTTTGGTAATTATGGCTAATATGGAAATATGTTTTGCATGATTTCACATGTATAATTGATAGCGTATTGCTTGCCTTCTCACTGGTGGGGGATAGATTGGAGAAAGGGAAAAACTTGGAAATTCAAATTTTTTAAAAAAGAATGTTAAAAATTAAACAAATAAAAATTCACTAAAAGGAAAAAATATATACAATAGAGCAGAAGAAAGTTGACAAAGGAACACAGATAAGAAGAAAATGTTGACACTATGTATTAAATTTAATATATACTTCAGAAAATATAAGATGAACAAAATAGAGTCTTCATATATAAAAAAATCCTATGATCCTTTGCTAGAAATGGACAGCATCATCCCCAGATTGATGTAGAACAGCAGGTTTATCTGTATAATTTTCCAGGTTGGCTGCTTTACTTGGGAGTGACAAAGAAAAGTAATTCTGCATTTTGTTTTTAAAAAAAATCTTCTTGTTTCGATCTTGTCGATATCTGTGAGGGAAATCCTATAGAGATGTGTAAATGAGGGGAGTAAATGAAATACACTCTGTGTTGTTTGGAGGCCAATTCCAAAAGGTGAGTCATTTAAAAGAAAATTGTTTTTATTGATGACTTTTTGCTTTTAGATCACATTACCTTCTGAATATCCCCTCCCCTATTCCTCTACTCCGCTGACCTTCCTTTTATTTTTTTTTGGATGTATATCACATAGGTCGTATCACACACGCACACACATACACACACACGCACACACACACACACACACAATCTCATGCTGAGTCTGTAATATACACCAAAACTTCCAGATTACTGCTATGACCCTATTCTTGAGAAACTGATTTTTTAAAAACCAAACTGCAAAACTTTACATATATCTCTGTCAGATTCAGCTAAATCCTGGAGCCTGTTACAATCCTTTTGGATTCTGTCATCTTACATATTAGACATTCTTCCCACTTTTAATCATCTGCAAATTTGATAAGTATGCCATCTATGCCTTTATCCAAGTCACTAATGGAAAAAAATAATAAATAGCAGAGGGCCAAGCACTTCCCTGGAAGGCATTGATTGATTTTGAGCCATTTAAAAAAATCATTATTTTTTATTTTAAACGTTTTTTCTTTTTAAATTTTGAGTTTCAAATTCTCTCCAATCCTACTACCCCTTCTCCACCCATTGATAAAGTAAGCAAAGAGATATGAATTATACAGATAAAATCATGTAAAACATTTCTATATTAGCCATATCGTAATAAAACTAAAGAAAGCAAGAAAATTATATTTAGATTTGTACTCAGAGTACATGGTCTTTTTGGAGGCAGATAGGACTTTTCATCATGAGCCCTTGGGAATTATCTTGGATCACTGTATTGATCAGAGTAGCCAAGTCTTTCACAGTTGATCATCATTACAACATTGTTGCTACTGTACCCGATGATCTCACAGTTCTTCTCCCTTCACTTTGCATCAGTTCATTTGTTCTTTCCATGTTTTTTTTTCTGAAATCACTACCCTCATTATTTCTAATAGCACAGTAGTGCTCCTTCACAATCATATGCCACAACTTGTTCAGATAGTCCTCAATTGATTAGCATCACCTCAATTTCCTAATTTTTGCCAGCACAAAAAGAGCTTATATGAATATTTTTTGCACATAGAGATCCTTTTTCTTTCTTTTTAAAAATCTCTTTGGGATACAGACCTAATAATAATACTGCTGAATCAAAGGGTTTATTCAGTTTTATAGCCCTTTGGACAACAAGCCACACTTGTTTACTCTATCATTCTGTTCTCTAGAATAGTTGAATCATTTTACAACTCCATCAACAGTTCCCTCAGCTCCTCCAGCATTTTTCATTTCTGATAGGTGTGAGTTGGTACCTCAGAGATGTTTTAATTTGCATTTCTCTAATTATTAGTGATTTAAAGTATTTTTTCTGTAGATAGCTTTGATTTCTTCTGAAAACTGCCTATTCATATCCTTTGACCATTTATCAATGGCTATTATTTTTATAACCTTGACTCAGTTCCCTATATATTTGAGTAATAA